CGCGGCTCTGGGGGGTGAACAAAAGCCTTCTGTAGCGAATCGATGCATTTTTTTTGTAAGAAAAATATCCATATTCAAAATGTAATAATCACTTTAAATGTAGCTTGCGCCATCAGTTGTACTCGGAAGCAGTTCCGGGCAGATGACGTATGAGGTCGGCTTTGCGCATGCACCGCTCAGAAGTGACGAACGTGGAAGCGCAGGGGAGAGATCAAGACAAATCAACGGTCACTTATTAGAAGTACAAAACGACTCACCGGCGCATGCGCAGCACTGACCTCAGGGGTCATCCGCCCGGAACTGCTAGCGCAAGCTACATTAAAGTGATTATTACGTTTTGAATATGGATATTTTTCGTACAAAAACGCATCGATCCGCTGCAGGAGGCCTTTGTTCGCCCCCCGGAGTTGTGTGAGATCTTTGTTCACCCCCCGGAGTTGTGTGAGATACTTTTTTTTTTAATTTTTATGGAGGGGCGCTTTTTATTTAACTTATTTTGGACTGAAGCATGCAACACCCGCTGAGTGCCATGAAACAGCTTGAAAGATCAAAAGACAATTATTATTTTTTTTGCCTTTTATTGATAGGATGGTAGTGAGACAGGAAGCAAAGTGGGAGAGAGAGGGGGGGGTGGGATTGGGAAAGGTCCGCGAGCCAGGACTCGAACACGGGACGCCCGAAGCTTAACGGCAGTGACATTTTGACCCAGAGGCATCAGTGCTCATGTACTTGAGTAGAGCATGTTTCAAGGTTTTAGTTGAAATACTAACAACATACCAGGTTTTAAAGTCAGAATGTATTCAGACAAGTCCTGAGACTGGATGTTAGTCTTCACATGGCCCGTCCCATTAGACCAAACCACGCATCCTCTCCGCCAGTACATGTCAAAGGACTGGATGTCTTCATGTGAAGTAAAGAGTTCAGTTTTCACAGGAGTCTCTCCTGCAAACTCCAAGCTGTATATGACCGTGGCTGTTGCATAGGCAACCTTAAAATCTGACAATGAGAAGAGATGAACATTATCAAGAGGCAACTCATTTTTAACTAAAATGCTAAATATTGGATGCTAAACAAACACCACACTTTCACAAGATCCCCAAGACATGGGCAGCGCTCCCTCAGGACACAGACAGGTGAACCCAGCAGCACTTTTCTTGGAGGGCAAACACAGCTGGCAGCCGGAGTCTTTACATGGTGCAAACCCTACATCCAAAAACACAATAAAGCTCGGAGCCAATGATGTGGTGTAACCAATATGATCAAATTTGCAAAAAATAATTCACCTTGGGGCTGCTGAAGCACATGGTAGATGCTCAAGACAGGAAGCGAGGCTTTTAAGATGAAGCCATTTAGTGTGTCAGAAGACATATTTTGAGGAGCCTGCCAGAGTTTTTTCTCATCGGCCAAATAAAACCAGCCATTAAACACGGCCAGGGTCTGAGCAGGACGTCCTTGAAAGAAATCCCAGAAGGTATGCCGTCCAGTGCCGTCTGTCCTGATGCTCTCAATTGACTGGAATATCAATTAAAAAAAACTCAATATAAACACACAATCAATAAATTCAGGTTTTTGACCAAACACAACACACCGCTTTGTAAACACTGATCCAATACAGCCGGCGCGCTGCCACATCCATTGTAAGACTTCTCGGTAGCTGTGCAGTAATGAAAACCAGTGTAGTCCGATTTAAACCATCCATTTCCACCCTCTCAATGGTTAGCTTGTCATTTGTTCCTTTATTAATCCAAAATATGAAACTACAGGGGGAAAAAAACAAACATATAACTGTGCTCCTCAAATCTGTGCTAATACAGTAAAAAGCAGTTTGTACCTCTCAGTTGGGCTGAGGACCATATCTCTCGGGTCCATTTCTTTGGACATGACCGTGCCTACATCACTGCCATCAGCTGCACCGGTGTAGATGGCTTTCTGGGTAACACTCGTCCAGTACAGTTGTCCAGTAAGCCAGTCGATGGCTAGACTGTGCAAACCAGACTGCCCTAATAAGGTGAGAAATAAAAATGCATAAGGTTTTGGTGTAGGCCAACATATTTAGGCAGTTTTGCATGGACGTAGCACTCAACTGACCTGAATAAAGAATCGTGCTCTTCCGGTTCAAAGCCTGGTAGATATTCCCATCTTTATCAGCCCAGTAGATTAAGCTTCTTTGGATATTGTAGGTCATGGCTATAGGGTCGCTCTCACTTGCAAAGAGCGGCTCATAGACTCTGGTCTTCACATTCACTAACCCAATCAGCCCCTTCCTGGTGGTCAATATCTTTGTCACGGCTCCTTGTAAAACAGTTTGATGTTACTGGTTATGTGTATACTTGATATTAATAGTAAAATCTGAAAATACATGCCATAAGTTACCTTGAGCTTCACAAGAACCGTTGCCAAGAGGTTTGAAACCATTCTGGTACAGACACCGAAAAGACCCGGGTGTATTTGTGCACAAGTGCATGCAAGGTCCGAAAGACTGGGCACACTCATTGACATCTAGAATAAAGGAGCCAACAATACTTAAGTCAAACTGAAAACACTGCACTATATTTGGACTACTATTGAGACCAAGTGGAAAATTAACATTTGTTGATACTAGGAGTATGTTTAGAACTAATAGTATATAGACTACACATTATATATTGTATCCTTCCTTAACATTAAAATTATACACCCCTAAAAGTAATTATTATTATGTAACAATATGCCAAATTCAATGATGCATATTCATATGTAGTACAGCATATGGGGTTTTCACATTTTCAAAACGAAACCTTAAATGTGTCATTATAATTTTCCAAATGAAACTGCCTTTTATTTTGTTACACAAATGTCAAAGTGAATTTTTTTTTTATATATATTCTATGGAAAATTCATAATTTGTATCAAGCTGATGGTGCAGAATTTGTCTACCTTAGAAACAAGTATGGTTGTTTCATTTTTTGATCTTGAGCGCTGGCTCAATCAAATGTCAAGAAAGAGACATTAAAAACACATTCCGTTGTGGGATACAGTATCGTAAGCAGTATTACCTAGCATTGTGAACAGTATATGCTGCATATTGCAGAAATGATATGACTAGTATGGTAGTGCACAGTTCCAAAAATAGTCTGCTTGGAGGCAAAAGTGCAGCTACTGTACCTTCACAATCAAGTCCATTTGCAGAAAGGGTCATTCCAGTGGGACAAGTGCACAAAGCCCCCCAAAGCTGGTCAAAGCAAGTATGACTACAGCCACCATTCCCATTATGACAACTTTTACCTAGGTCACATAAGGATGAAACGCAAATAAATAAACAATCAAGCTAACCTCGGGCCTCTTTCATAAAACAAGTTGACCAAAATAACCAGGTTTATTTCAGTTAGTCTGACGTATTGTCAGTTGATTTGGCTCAAAATAAGTCAGACTAACTGAAATAAGCCTGGCTTATTTGGTCAACTTGTTTTATGAAATGTTGTCTGAGATATGCTACATGATCAGTCAAACACACTTCAAAGCAAATTACAGCAAAAAATAAATATATAAAAATGAGGGTCTTAAATGTACCACATGTGAGAGGCTCATCTCTCTTATCTGAGCACTGAGCAACTCCATCACACCTCTGTCTCGGGGTTAGACATGTGCCATCAGGACAGCGGATGTTCATCTTCCCACAGGAACCTATAAACATGAACAGGCAAATATAACAGGACTCTTAGACATCATCAATAAAAAAGGCTGTGAGATATTCTAAACAGCAACAGAAATACGTTGATGAATGTTGTGTGTAAATCGAATTCTGCAATGGATGCTTACAGTATACAGAATATGCGAGTGCAACAGGACACATGGTTTCCACCCCCAATTTTTGGTTTAGGTCATATATACAATTGAAATGTTTTTTTAGTATCAACTAGGAGACTTCCTAGAGTTTGCTATACATGGAACCAGGACAATAAAAGCATTTACATGCACAATCATAAATGCAATGTCTAACAATGTGAAATTTTAATACATTTATCTGAATCTTTCCCATTTTGCATTTATGAACAGGTTGCCCCTAGGGCTGTGCAAAAAAACCGAAAGCGATTTTCATGCGCATCTCGTCAGTAAAGTCGCTCCTGTGATTAGTAGTAAATCTCCAGCACATGCTTTCAGATGGAGCAGCATTTACTACACAGAGCCATAGTTGCGCATGAAACTGACGAGAGTTACTACACTGACGAGATGCGCATGAAAATCACATTCGATTTTTTGCACAGCCCTAGTTGCCCCATTTCCCTTTTGGTAGGGCCCAGATAATTAGAGGCTGTGCCTCTTCTTGCATTTATTTTAAACAACTGGTCCTACAAAAAGTCACAGGTTGATCTAATGCACTGACAGTCATACATTGTTTAATGAGGCTTAGAGCATCTCACCACAGGTTTCTTCATCAGAGTTGTCACCGCAGTCTGATGATTTGCTGCTCGAGAAACACTTCTGATTATTATCAGCGTTGTGAAACCTTGATATATATTTTTTTTCAGTTTTCTTTGCTGCATAGAAAGTTCAAAGGAGCATCTTTAATGGATCAAACTTCTGAATGAGTCATTATAATTGACACTAATTGTCAGAAACTCCGGAGCGTCCCTGTTTCTACTGAAGCATCACGTCCTATCGTCTGAACGGTAGGCTACACGGTTTTATGATGTGAAGTTTACTTGATATTAATATGCCATACCGAAAATGTGATATTTGAATTTCAGCTTAAAGGGCAGAATTCATAAAGTATTCTAGTTTAAGAGGGTTTCACACCAACATACGAAACATTTTTAGTTTGGATAGTGCACTTCCTATGTTCCAAAAAAATGTGAGTGACAGTTAAAGGGTTAATTATTAATATCTTCTAACATACCAGTCAAAAGTTTTTGAACAGTAAGATTTGTATTGTTTTTAAAGAATTATCTTCTGCTCCCCAAGCCTGCATTTATTTGATCCAAAATACAGCAAAAACAGTAACATTTTGAAATAATTTTACTATTTAAAATAACTCTTTTCTATTTGGAAATATTTTAAAATATCATTTATTCATGTGATTTCAAAGCTATATTTTTAGCATCATTACTCCAGTCACACGATCCTTCAGAAATCATTCTGATATTCTGATTTGCTGCTCAAAAATCATTTATTATGATGTTGAAAACAGCCGAGTAGAATTTTTTCAGGTTTCTTTGATGGATAGATAGTTCAGAAGAACCGCACTTATCTGAAATAGAAATCTTTTGTAACATTATAAACATCTTTATCATCACTTTTGATCAATTTAAAGCATCCTTGCTGAATAAAAGTATTCATTTCTATAATTTCTTTCCAAAACAAAAAAAGAAAGAAAGAAATCATACTGACTCCAAGCTTTTGAAAGGTATAGTGTATAATGTTACAAAAGCTTTTTATTTCAGATAAATGCTGATCTTTGGATCTTTCTGTTCATCAAAGAATCCTGAAATAAAAAAATACTCAACTGTATATTGATAATCAGCAAATCTGCATATTATAATGATTTCTGAAGGATCATGTGACACTGAAGACTAGAGGAATAAATCAATGTATGGGAAACTGGTAATGTATATCGAAAATGTGTTATTGAACACCGTTATTGAAAAGAATTATATCGTGATACATATTGATATTGAATTATTGTCCAGCCATACTTTCAAGAAGATATTACAATTTATATTAAATCTGTATCTACCTCCTGTAACAAAAAGGCCACTAAAACTTTGAATGTATGCTCACTTTTTGGTGTTTTTTTTAATCATTTTCATCTGATAATTATTTTGTGTTTTGAGGGAAGAGTATGTTTTTTGTTTATTTAATTTATCTTATTTTTTCTCATGTGCTTATTTATTTATTTGTCTACTCTTTCTCTTTTGATTTGTAATTGCTGTATATTGTTTGGTCATCCTTGAACCCCTGGCTCTTTTGTCACACTTGTATTTCTGAATAAATGTTTAATTAAAAAAATTAATAAATTAAAAAAAAAAGTTTGGAATAATTCATATTTTTATGTTTTTGAACTTACACGCGCTTATTTGATCAAAACATAAGCTACAGTAAAAAGAGTAGGCCTAATAATGTGAAACGTAACTTCTTTCTAGGCTATTTCAAATGTAATGTATTCCTGTGATTGTAAAGATGAGTTTTCAGACTCAGAAATCATTCTAATATGCTGATTTGATGCTCCGTCATTATTGGTGCTCAGTTAGCCTATTAATAATGGTCTTATTATTATGGATGAAAACAGTTTTTGCTGCTTAATATTTTTGTGGAAATTGTGATACATTTTTCTTTTTAAGATTCTTTGATGAATAAAAAGTTCAAAAGAACAGCATTTATTTGTGTTTTGTAACATTATGTATTACTGACCATTTTAAATAATTTAATGCTTCATTGCTGAATAAAAGCTTTAACTTACTTATAAGATATATATATATATATATATAGATATATACACAGTGGTGTTAAAAAGTGTTGGCCCCCTTCCTGATTTCTTATTTTTTTGCATGTTTGTCACACTTTAATGTTTCAGATCATCAAACAAATTTAAATATTAGTCAAAGATAACACAAGGGAACACAACATGCAGTTTTTAAATGAAGGTTTTTAACTGCATGTTGTGTTATCTTTGACTAATATTTAAATTTGTTTGATGATCTGAAACATTAAAGTGTGACAAACATGCAAAAAAACAAGAAATCAGGGAGGGGGCCAACACTTTTTCACACCAGTGTGTGTGTATATATATATATAAGCATATCTGAGCATTATTGATAATTTCAATATTAACATAAAATTTGATAAATTATTTTTCTTGGGACAATAAATAAATACAGAATCTGTGCATATTGTCTATCGTTACATCATCATCACTGCAAGATAAAAAGGAAACGGTCCACTTAAAAAGAGTCATTCATGGACTCATTACAAACATCTGGCCTGTGGTTTGATTAGCAGTCAAGTTAATGGAAGTCAACAGACAAAACTGGAATAATCTTCAGCAGATTTTCATGCTTCCGCTTTCATATTACATGCAAGCTTTTCATCTGAATTTCATTTTCATTTGTAGCAGACAAATATGAGAAAAACAGTCTGGTCAAGGCTTTAGAAATACAGTACAAAACATTGAGTTACAATGTGATACAAACCAGATTTCAAGATGCAGTTTTGCCAAAGTGTGCAAAAAGACATCGGGGCACAAAGATTAACTGCTGTACTTGTTTTACGAATGGTTTAGTTTAATAACTTTCACATTTTTAAAAACATTCCTAATGTAAAATTGCTGACAATGTCATAACATTTTCACACGATATTTTTAATTAAATAAATATTTAGTGAAATATTAGTAAATATGTGTTTTTAACGTTGTGAATGATATTACCAGAGTTTGCCCTATTTCTCCAATGCCTTTGCATTTATATAATGACATCGTGCATATCACCTTTTGTATGTCTATTTAATAAATAGCAAAGCAGAAAAGGCTGAAACATAAGCACTGTACTCGTCCGTTGGTTGGCAACAGCAGCGATTAAATAACGGACACTGGCGACATCTAGTGGCAGGAGCTGGTACTGCTTCGCCTGCTTTATCTCATCACTGGAATAATATGACTTTGTTTCACCATCACACACATTACATATATTCACCATCGTGAAAAATATATGTAGCACAAACCTTGACATAATGTATCGCTATACTGATTTCCATAACCTGTCATGCACACTTCTTACTTCATATTTTTTAGCTGTTTTATTACTGCAGATAAGCACAGGTGGTTAACAACTTATTTTAGTCTTGTTTTTTACGTGCTGAATGGCGGATGAACACTTACAAACATCACAATCTCATAGTAATGCTATTTAGAGGCAGTAACTCGCTCGCCCGTTCGGTTCCAGTCTGTTATGAAGTCAATAGATGGACAGCAACGTTGACAAACCACTGCCTCCTGCCAGAACCTAAACAACACTGATTAGAAGACGCAGTCTGATTAGCCAATAGAAATCGACTATGGTTTGCATATTCAATTTTGATGGAGATCGACGGTTTTGTAAGCCAATCGACGGGAAGAGCATTCGCGACGGGCTTCTCGTTCGTCCAATAGAAAGCTGGAAGGCGGGGCTTATGCAGAGCGTGCGTTACGTTAGGTTGCGCGCGCTGGAGGCCGTCGTCTGCTGCTGTAATTCGGCTAGAGTGGGAAGGAAAATATTGTTTAAAATCGACTTTTACCCACTCGCGAATAATCCGTTTCGCTCGGATTTTACGCTACTCCTTCCTTGCAGACAAAGCGGCTCGCTAAAAGGGTGAGTTGACGGGTAAACGAAAAGAGAACGGCTTCCAAACCCGTTTGAAAGCTCTGTTTATTTTTCTGTCAAAGAAAGTAGCGCAGGCTGCTAGCGTAGCGGTTTGCACAAACTCACACCTCGCGCATAAGCAGCCAGACCGCGGCTTTTCGTTCATGCACGGATCAAAGAGTGTCTATGGCAGCGATTAATGCTAATGTATTGATCCTGGGGTTTGTTGTATTGTAGGCAGACCGGGACAGAGAGTCGATTAGCGGCCCATGCAGCCACAACGAGCCCGTGATACACCATCAGACCGCCGCTGGAGAAGGTAACAACGCGTTTAATAATCATTTTAAGCTTACAGATGAGATGATGGCTAGGGTAAGCACAGTTGATTTATATGCATGATTAGAATGATACCAGCAGTTAAATATGGGGATGTTTGTTGTGTCTATTTAGTTAGCTAAATATCAAATTGTTTTGCTGAGAGAGTTCTGAATACGAGAATACTGGGATATAACTCGCACCTGCCTCATTGGCATCTGTGTATTTCTCATCTCAGTCTCTGGCTGTGTGTCTGAACTTAGACCGCTGCCTACCTAGACAGCATTTGTGGGCATCGAAGTCGCGTTAATGAATGCTGCCACAGTCGAGCGTTCCAGCACGGAGATTATTAGCAACAACTGGTTCATTTTAAACTTTTCAAAAACACACGTGGTGCTTAAATTCTGTGAACGTTCCAAGATATCCGGAAACGCTTAGAGTGTTCCAGAATCCACATCTGCATCTGAACGTTCTGTTAGGCTTTTATGATGCCACGAAACTTTAAAGGGGTCCTATTATGCTTTTTCACTTTTTCAACTTTAGTTAGTCTGTAATGCTGCTGTTTGAGCATAAGCAAGATCTGCAAAGTTACAAAGCTCAAAGTCCAATTCAACAGGAGATCTTTTATTGAACAGAAATCACTTTTCAAAAACTACAACTAACGACTCGTTTGGACTACAACGCATATTTTCCGGGATTTGTGATATCACAAATATCAAACTTGTTTCCCAAAGACTCACCCATCTATCATTGGTCAACAAACAGACATTCCTGACTCAAACTAACAGCATTGGTTGCACTAATTTTGCCATGTCAGGTCACTAGAAATGGCGTCTTTATCCCCTGCACATTTAACTAAAATAAGTATTTACACTACTACATTATTACATTACTACACTATTACAAACAAGTTTGGGGTCAGTATGTTTTTTAAAAAATTATTGAAAGA